TAAAGAGAAATAAAAAGAAAGAGGAAGAGTGGGAAGGAGAGAGATCGGCGGAGGGAAGAAAAAAATAAAATGTTAACACAGAGAGACAGCTTTGCCAGGTTCAGTTCGGCTGTAACGGTTTCTTGCGACCTATTTCCGGTTGGCTGGCATGAATAAAGGTGTTTATTTTTCCTGCAGCCACCGCCCCGCCGCCCTTATTCTTTCTGAAATCCACAGGTACGAGCGCGGAACGCGGAGAACCCCCAGTGAAATATACGGACTGGAACGTGCGCGAGTCGTTTGCGCTCGGATGGGATTGATGCTTCAATTTGCCTCGGCTTCAGCGGCAAAGAGGGAATTATATTGGGAGTCGAGGGGTTCGAGCGATCTCCTGTCGTTTGGCTCATAGAGCGACGATGGGGCGGTTTTGTTCCCTGTTACGTGGAGATTCGAGTTAATCGTTGGAAACCGCGTGAGATCTTATTCCGTGTTTCTTTCCTTCGGCAGAAATGTGGCGTGTCTTGGGGTTCGCGTTTTGTGTATGATCGTGTGTGTTATTATAATTATGATGTTCATTGTAGTATTTTGGGGAATATCTAGAAACTTAGGTGGGAGTACGTTTTTGGAAATATTCAACTATGCCTGGAAATTTCGGAGTAATCGATAGTGAAATGTCTTGATGATTAGGATAAAGGAAGAAATCTTTACGGAAGATTATTTATAAAGATGTAATTGTAATGAATATTTAATCTTAATTAAATGAAGTAATCATTTTAAATATTGCCGTTTTATCGTTTGATAAAAAGTAGTTTATTTCCAGCGTCAATAAGGGTTCGATGTATTTCTGAAATATTTTAGGTGATGCGCGAACCGGTCGGAGTTTGCGAGCAACTTTGAGAGGCTTCTACCTTCGGCGAAAGGTTTCAAGGCGCGCGTAGAAGGATAAAGTGTATCAAATTCTCTTACCTGTTCCCCTGTGTCCGCGTCAAGATTGTTGCCGGTGTTCGTGACCTCTGAAACATCTTCGATGACCGAATCGCCGATCGTGCTGTTGTCGCTGACGACAAGGCCTATCAGGCATATCTGGAAAAAGCAAGAGTATCGATTGGTTAACATTATGCTTCAATCGTTATACACCATATTAACACGTTGAATGCCGCACGATTTCATAAAGCAAACTACTCAAATCGGGAAAATATAATATTAAATCATTTGATTGAATTGTATTATTATCATTGCATGTTCATCTAGCTGAATGTCACCGCAATAAGCAGCATTATTTATAATATACAAACCTTTTCAAATAATCATAGTTCAACTGAGTGTACTATAGTAATTCGATTCGGTTGGGGGTCACCGGTGACCCCTACGGCATTCAACGTGTTAATATATTACTATATCATTCTCATTTAACAAAATATTCACTACACCAATCTCGCATGTACGACACATGTATAATTCTTGGAATAATATATTCGTGAAATAAGTCATGTACAACTTACTATAACATTTGCTTCAATCCATTTCAATGCAGTTATTAACACTAATTTATTGAAGCTGATTTAATATCCTTCTATAACATTAATAATAGGAGTAATATGAATTACTAATGATAACCCAGTGAAAGGTTTCAGTACAATATACATTAAGTTCCAGTTAATTGAATATTATTATCTCCTGAATTATAGGTCGAAGAATTTTATTATACTTCCTGTAATATTTCTTTCCCTAAATTCAACATCAAAAATGGACGACCGAATCAGAGATCTAAACATCCTCCGTTTTACTATTTAGGCGGAGTAATACGGTTTCGGCGACTCGCGGCGACAAGCAAGATAGAAGCTGGCGTTTGCCGCGCGTTATTAGCGATAAATTAAGACGCCTGGTCCGCCCTGTAATTAAAGGTTAACGATAAACGCCTCGGGCGGCGAGAAAATGAACTCGTACGGATTGGGATTAGTATGGCGTAGCAAAGATATCCACAGTTTATGGACTTTACGATCATCACGCTGTGTTTACGAGCTTGTTATTAGCCGACGCGATTAGAAAATAAAGTCCGGAGAAATCGGTCGCTATCGTAACTTATTAACCTATGACATTCAGAGAGAAACACGGAGAAAGATGGATTCAACGAGCGAGCTATAATTATCCAATATCAAAGTTTCAAATTTTCTCAATAAGAAGAGGAAAAGAATTACTGATATATTCTTTATCTGATTTATCCGTAGAAGTGTGGTTTCCGTTTTGTCGAGTGGACGTCGTAAATTAGATTTGAACATGGAAATTCCTGTCATGTAAGAAATTACAATCTTCCATGGGTACTTCTAGGCAGGCTCTCATTCGACATAAATCATTCCGAGCCCCGTCGTTCGGTAATAATTAATTATCGTTCGATCGAGTCATTAAAGTTGCGCAAAAGGTCCTCGCCGTTCGCGGCAATCGCAAAGATTGATCATTAGCGGGATTAAACTGCGAAGTTTCAAAATATTCGGGATTGTAATTCCTACGAAAATTCATCGAATCGCAGCGCTTGGTACGGGCGTCCCATTGGAACTGGCGAAGTCATTATTCATCCGCTAGTACGATCATTATGATTAGCCAATCGACCACCTAGGGCGTTTTCGTCTGGCGTATCTACTTACACACGGTGTTGCCTTTGAAAAAGGTGGAAATTATAGTGATCGGGGCCTCGAATCGATTAGTTCGATCACTGTTATTATCTCGGTAGTAATTCTTCTGTTAAGATACCGTTTAGTAGCTACGAAGGGACTCTTTGTCGTTCATCAAGCAAAGTAATCGGGAACATAATTACAAATAACCCGACAATTCGATCAATCATATCGCGATTCAATTTTTCGCGCGGACCACGCTGTTTCTATTTTTAATAAGAATCTCAGAGAACCCCCTAAATTTTATACACTCCATTTTCTATATTCAAAATTTGTTCATTACACAAATGGACAAATATTTCTCGCGTCGAAAGCATGAAATTTACATTTATGACACGGTGACTATGAATATGTATATTTATTCCGAATTCCCGGGTGCGAATCGATCGGAAAGAAATTTTTATTTCACCGTATTCCGCGAAGCAGGTTACGCGTGCACCTCTTTAGCCTGGTAATACAACGAATTATTCAATTATTCGTATCATAATGAAATTATATGTAATATAATTATAATAAACACCGCCGGTAGAACGTACGTTACAGGAGGCGCATAAATTACAGCTAATAGTGGCGTCGTCACGAAAGGAACATCAAAACGGCGCGTGGGTTGGATTACCGTAGAAGAAGAGAAGAAATAGATATCTGGAAATTAATCAAATGACCAGGCCAGGAACAAAATAGTCGTCGAATCTGTACTCGCCGGAGCGCACAAAAGCGCAGCGTATGCATGTCACGGCGTAAGCGCGGCCGCCGGACAATAATATCGATGAATAACCCAGATTTCGATTGAAATACGCGAGGCTCGGTAGATGTCTGCCGATACTGGAATTCCACCGTACATCGGCGCGAACGCGGCCGAACGAACCGGCTTACCGTCGGAAATTTATGTCCGACACGGTCACGGACTAACGAGGCGTCTGTTCGATACCATTTAATTCTTATCTGGCCCCCTTGATTGGCTCGCGTGCCATGCTTGGATTAACGCCGTCGGTCCACATTAATTCTGGTAATTAACTTAGTCCCGCCTCGACACGGCCGGGATCGCCGCTTCGACACGCTCGAGTACGCACGGAAACTTCAACCCGCGCCCGTTCAAAAACACCTGTCCGGATCGGTATCGATCGGATCCCCGTGACCGGCGCGAATTATCTAACGACGCTGTCCTGTTTACCAGCGACAAGTCCATCACGGTGTTCGCTCGAACGTTCCCGACGCTGTGAACAATTTCACCTCGCGACACATCGCGAAAGAGGGACATTCGCGGGAGAAGTTGTAATCGGTGGATCGTACTCGATAAACCGGCTGTAGCAATAAAATTCAAAAGGAAACGCATTCGAGATATAAATATTTCTCATGATCGAATTATAATGAAGCATTCTTATTTATTAAAAAAACACGAGAATTATATTCTAATATCCTCGTTCGCCTTTCCGCGTTTAGCGAATCGAACTCAAGCGACGGATAATAAAAAGACAATCGATCGGAGATCATAAACAAGTTGAAACTTACGTAACCAAATTCGAAGTGGAATAACGATAGGGAATATCAATCGAGAAGAATTTCCAAGCGTGGCGCGCGTTCGGGATACGCCACGGATCGTTGTGCCCGTAAACGTCCCGAGGACAGACTGATTTTTCAGGTGGCCGGATATACGGGATGGCAATTTATCTTGCTTGGAGGGCGAGGCAGCTTTATCGTCGGAGAAAAATTGATATTCGATTATCGCGTCGGCTCGCGATCGGGTTGGCGGGTTTCGGGCTGCGACCGGTAGCCGGCGGGAAACAAAAGGCGGCCCGGACGGGAACACGGGACTCTACTTTGCGGCGGAGTGTGAATAAAATTAATTTCTCCGCTGGAATTAATATCGGGCTCCGGTTCGCGGGGTTACGGCGCTGCTAAAAGGCGGCCCGTGTAAACAGATTAGATCTTCCTCGAGGAGACCGAGCTGATCTTCCTCCCGGGAGGAGCGTGGACAATGCACGGCCGCGCCGATATACACGGTGTATCACTTAAGATAACTTCTTTATTTATGAGGGCCGAGAGCTTCGCGTAGCAGAGGTAGTCGCGCCTCCTCCGGTGGTCGTATATTCACGGGGATACGGGAGGATATCAAAGTTTTGAAGAGTCTGATCTGTCTTCCCCGCGTTGTTTCCAAGTGTACCACTCGTGTTACTTAGCCGGAGTTGACGGTGATTCCCGGTGAAAAGAAGGGAATTGATATTGCGATTGAAAGACCGAACTTTGCGGAAGGTTCTCCGTAAGGTATATTCGTTTATGCGAGTTGATGCGGGGATGTTGATGAGGTTTGCGAAGTTTGCCGAAGGGAATGATCGAGACTTTTCACGTGAAATATCCGGAGGGCAATGTGTCATTTGTAACACTGGAACTACCGTACTAGTGACAATGACTGGTTTTCCCATTACGCAATTATTGATATTTTCGTGGCATTGAATACTCGAACTGAACTTGAGAATGAATAGCTTCATTTGAATACTATAACGAATAACCGAGGAAACTGAGAATCGTTACAATTTTTGTAGGGATTACATATCGATCGTATTAAATGCTCGGTATTTCTAGCGTTAATAGCCTTGCGTTCGATTGCTGTGAGATGTACGATGCGAGTTGGGAATAATATGCTAACAGTATTTATATTACAAGTGAAAGCGTTCCAGAACATATACGCGATGGACGCGTGTCAAAAAATATAATTCTCCGAATGGAATCGATCGAAAAAACCATGCGGAAAGAGGCGGTCGATAGTTTAAACACATCAAGACTTGCTGCGCGGCGGGTCGTTCCGAATAAAAGTGGAGCATATGCTCCCGGTGATCTCTCAATATTATTTCAACGTTGTTAAATCAATGTTATCCTTTCGACGTTCAAATATTGTTCTCAATTATAACAGATTTGCCCCGAGTTTCCTCGTCGAATGCTATTATATCTTCGCGACTTTCCGGATTTCACGTTTGCCGGTCGCCGGGGGGATGGAAAAATGGAAGGAAGGGGTGTAATCGAGTGGGCCCGCCGGCCGGGAAAGGGGTGGCGCGAACCTCGTTACAGAAATTTTGTTTCGCCCCCGACGAGATTGTCCGCAATCAGTTACGGGACGACGATGAAGCGGATAGACGTTCGCCCCGGCGCGGCCCGTTGAAGTTTTAACGTCACCGGAAGTCCGTCGACGGCGGAAACTACGTCGCAAATTGTTACGCCGTCACTGGGCCTTCCGGTGGATCGACTTTCGCGCGGAAGATTGTCCTCTTAAAAGGACCACCGCGAACGGGGCGCTTTCCAGACTCGTCGGGAGGAACTTCCGAGACCTTTGGATCGTTTATTATTCAGTAGCTCCGACAAAAGTGGAGCGCCGATCGTGAAACAGTCATCGCTACACCTTATAAACTCTTGGATAATGCA